AAAATCTGCTAGTTTGCTTTCACAGGCTTCTTGAAATGTTTCCATACAGTGACATACTGTGCATTGCAAAGGTCTGTCCCCTGAAGCTAGTAAAGCCTCCTCCGGGCCTTTGGATGGTCCTGGCACTGGTATTTCTTGTCACCTCCTGTCACAGCCACCCATGGACCCTGTTGAGTAGCTCACTGTACTGAAGCTGCTTTACAATACATACTATTCAAATGTAAGAGCAGTGTAATGGATTCATGACCTCAATCCAACCATGATGCAGATTAAATCAAATTCTCCTTCCTCTCTTGACGTGCTTTAAGAAAAACTCTTCTACTTCTTACTTAGGGAGAGGAAGGGGGATTGTCAAAGGGGTGGGGTGAGGCAGTGGGAATGAAAATCCTTAACTTCAGACACACTTTATTTTCAGCTTGTATCTGAAGTAAATCCCATTTAGTTTAGTAATAACAGACACACCAGTTAGCTCCTTGATATGACAGGGCACCAATTCCCTTTTAATGGTATGAAAACTTAAAACTTACTTACAACATGTAATACATATTTGCAGCAGGCTGCTCAGAATCTACCTCGTCATTATGCAGTTCAGTGTGTCAGGGCTTGCCAGAGAAACCACAGCAGGGAGGAATTAGTACCACCATCAGAGGCAGCTGCATCAATCCCAGAACTGTACTGGGCTTCAGCACCATGCTGCTATGCCAGAGCTCAGTAAACCACTCATTTCCAAACACAGAGACTGACAGCCTGTCTTGTTCAATTAAACAGTAAAACCCATATAGTGCACAGGAGTGAGATTTTACCCATTTAGCTATTTACTTACGTTGGAATTTTTAATATACTAACCCTTGCACTAGAGTTGCAGAAATACAAGTTACAATCTTTACAATGGGTTCCTTTTTCCATAAAGAAACTTTCTGCAGCAACATAATAGTCTTGACTACCTGGTTAGCACAGTCTTACTACATTACAAGTAATGTATTTCCTGTGATGTGTTGTTTCTGATGTTTTTAGTGAAACTGCTCATTTTAATCATACCAACCCAAACACACCTATTAAAAACTACTAGAACAGTGTGGGTACTTCATGGTATTTAGGGCATGAGACTCACAAGTGATGGCACCTCGAGTACTGAGTCAGTAGGCACCAAGAGCATAAATCTGTATTAACCATGTTTCAGTGGTAACACTTTCCTCACTGCTAACCCAATTTTAGATTGTCTTTCTCCTTTGTTTCCTTGAATAAAAGGATTTTGACTAGGAAGACTCAACATGATAAACACTGCAAGATTTTCAGTGCGTCAGTACAAATATACCAAAACTAAACAATGCAACTGTACATAACCACACACACACACTAACAATGTCTGAAAGGACTTGTTAAGTTTGTCTTTAAGTTAGTCAGAGACATAAAGTGGAAACACTGATGCCATAGTTAAACACTCTGGTGAACTGTTCAACAACTTATTCCCTGGTTCTTCCCATCAGCAATGTTTCCTATTTTATAACTTGGAAGGAAAATTGAATGGAGACTTCCCTGTCTGCAACACCTCAATTCAAATTCCACTGAAATTACTAAAATACCCAATGAAAACATTAAATTCTGGATCAAAATCTGTAGGCCAGAATGTCTGTGTTTCATAGGGACACAAACAGGTACATATTGAAACTTCAAAATAATGGCAGCATTACATTTAATTTTAATAAACTCCTATGAAGTATGGAAACAACTTGCTACCCAAACACTTGCTTTTCTAGATGCCTGAACAGTATTTCAAAATCCAACTTCAAGACTTCAGCTGAACTAAGGTTTTACCAAGAGCTTTGTGAACCTGAACAGGCAAATCTTTCTGAAAAAAATAGTTACAATATTCTCACTTGGACTAATTGCAGATGTCTACTCCCCTGTGGCAATACAGCGAGAGGCCACTTCTAATGGATTTTGGCTCATCTAACAATCCACACCCATCCCTATGGTGCCAGACGAGCAGCACCAACTTAGTTTTGCTTCATTTCAGGTATACAAAGATTTTTTTAGCTGTAAAAATCTATGTCCTAGACAGCTAAAATCATTCCAATCATAATGAGCTATCTTTGTTTTCAGAAAGCTGTCGGTTTGTCATAGTTGTATGTACACTTGCTCTTGAAATCACAATGCAGATTAACAGTTCATACCTGCCTCAAGAATGTCAGTGCTGAGTATGTGGTGATCTTCAGTCTTTCCTCCAATACCCTCCACTTCTTTTTCATTTTGACAGCAGAATATTTACCCTCCCAGTTGGCAATCTTTACAATATTGAGAGCCAAAAAGCTTAGATGCTGTTTGGACATTTATAAGGTAACAAAAACAAGGTAAAATAAATCCAGAAAAGGAATAAAATGCACAGCAAGACAGAGGCAAGGACTGCTGTAACCTACTCAGTTTCTGCAAGCTTAGGGTATGTAATAAGTGTTCCAGCTTCTTAATATTCCCGCAGGAAAAAAAAAAATCAAACCAGTAATAAATAGAAAAGAAGTTTTCTGTTGCATTTTCTCTTTGTATTTTATCATCTATTAACTGCTCTCTTCATTTGTTTGCTCAATCTTCTCTCTTGAACAGATAAAAGGGTTTCATTAAAGCAAAGCCTAATGCTGTCAGCAGCAGGAGAGCTGCCAATCCTGGCAGTTTTAGTAAATCTATTAAGCTGACCTAAGTATGCTAATATTTAATAACTTCCTTCTATTCACAGCAGTCTTTTGCAAATATTCCTTTATCTCATATAAAAAACTGTTACACAGTTCAACTGAATGTGTATGTATATACATACATAATTCTGTCCTAAAACAAGCAGGACTGTACTACCAGTTGCAACCTCTGCTGTACCATGTACCAGAAGCACTTCTGGAGATCACAGAAAAGTCTAACTACACCTTCATAAAAGTATAACATTTCAGAGATTATTAAGAAGAAACCAGCACTGGGCAACCAAAACAGAATGCTTTATCAAGGATTTCCTACACTAGCCTATTTGCAGAGCAGATGTTCTAAACCTATCTGAAGGACATCTGTTAAACCCATCTAGTATAGATTATCTCTAATTTACCAGAGGGAACACCCCCCCACCCCCCGATTCCCAAATTCTACCAATCACTTGCATCTTCTGTCACTGTAATAGCAATTAATATAGTAGAAAATACTCTGAAGAACAAGTGAACCACGTAACAGTACTAGTTGACATCACTGCTTATCAAAGTAAAAGCCTTTATCCTTCTTAATATCCTCTGCCTTTCTTCAGGGCTCCATAGCTCCAGCTATTACTTCATGCTTAATTGAAACAAAGTTTTTAAATCGACAAAGAACAATCATCTCTTACATAAGAGAACCGATCCATAGCAGAAGAGTTTCAGTTCAACAAAAATCTTGACAGAAAAAAAAAAAAAAGTTGATGAGGCTTCTAAAAGAAAAAACCGAGAGTGCTCACGTCAAAAAGAGAAGATTGATCTTAATCCTTGTCTCCCAAAAGGTTAATGTCATGGTTTAGGCCATGTAATAAATATACATGGGGTGGGAGGGAGAGAGCACCATCCTAATGTCTAATAGGAAACATACTTAATACGCAGCATTATTTATTTAAATGCAGTTACATGAGAACTACTGTCCTGCAAGTGCAGAAATGAAGGTGGAGCAGTACCACAGCATCTTTTCTCCAACCATTTGTGATGAAACATAACTGAAAACACTGGCTAGCAACAGCTGATATTTTATTCATTCTCTGTTTTCAGGTTTTGCAAAGAGTACTAGAGACCTTACTTGTTTTAGTTCATACAAAATTATCATACAGGTGGGAAAAAAAAACCAAAAACCAAACAAAACCCAACAAAAATGAACCATGGTTCTGTGAATAGAAAAAATCGTATTTCAAAAAATCGTATTTCAAAACCTAAAACTGTCCCAATAAGAAAAGAAGCACTCATCTTTTTTAGGGTTTAGCATAGAAAAACTAATAATGCACATGCCTATTATTATATTTAGTGCAGAATTTATACACCAGGTACTCAGTGAGGCTAACAATACATCAGCAACTTCGGACAGAAGCAGAACACCTACAGAGGAAAACAAACCAACCTCCTCCATCAAGGTCTGTCCTGCTTCCCCAGGAAAGAGAAATTACACTGAAGTCACCTACAGCAGATAGCAATCATGTTGCTTAGCCATAGCTGTGGTGAAGCCTTCAAATAAAGGACACCTTCACACTTAAGATAGTGATGAATTAGGCTTCTTCACAACCACCTGAGTATATCCCTAAGCAATACTCCTCTGTGTTACTTCATTAATTTATTTCACATCCTTGCAGGGCAAAACAGTACTTACACTAGGTAATACAACAGCCTGCAGACCTCCTCTCACACAACTCAGTTTTCAGAGACCAGAAACTACAGATGAGTTAGAGCATAAAGAAAGAAAGGAAATTTTCTCCTCTGAATAAACTTACTTAACATAAGAGAAATATGGCAACACTTTTCCCATTCTTTTTAAATAAACAGTCTTGGAATCTCATCTGAATGATCTATGTTGATGCTGATTAACATACCCATCTAATGAAGAAAGACTTCAATCATTCTGCCTCTAAATTCACATCTAAGCTCAGTTTTATAGCCTAACACTGGCTATTCCTGCATTCTTATTTTTTTACCTCGTGGAAAAAACTCACAAATTAAGGATCTAGACAAAAATCTAGTTTGCCACAGAAAACTATGCAAATACTAAAAAAAAGTAAATATATTTTATAGAATCTTCTCTAGTGACATCTTGCTACTAAGTAACTACCCTTCTGCTAAAAAACTTATTTTGGAAAGGACCATGTGCAAAGGAACTTGTTACTTCTGTCCTTCAACTTATGTTTGTATAAAAATGGTCATTTTTTAGAAACAAATACAATTATCTCTTAAAAACCCATGTATTTGTAACTAAGGAAGTTGATACTGTTTCAAAAATAAAAGTGTAAAAAAACTTAATAATTTTTCCTTCAATTACTAACTCTAGGTACCATCAACACATAAAAGTAAGAATAAAAAAAGAAGAAATAAAACCATTACTTCGTATGAAATTTATAGTCTGTGCACAGCTGTTGATTTATATAAGTGGACTTTATACTGCTAGGCAATGTGATTAATATACCAGAAAAGAAAGTAAAAAGTAGGTCAGTGATAGAGCACAATGGTTCTTCAACTCAACTCTCCTCCCTGCCTTCAGCTTGAAGCATAACGTTCATTCATCTTTTGGAGCACTAAGTAGCACTGTAACTAGATGCAGAAGACAAGTATTAGTAGACATTATCCACCCTTGATGTTTACACAAAATTCCCATGAAATCTATGGAAATTACACAGCTGCACAAAACAGAATAAGGTTTGTGGCAAACACAGCTTTCAGGATTTGCTCTTCAATAAATATCACAAGTGTAAGAGAGACAGCAAATGTTAACATTTTATTTGTTTTAAACATATAAAGGTTATAACTCTCTGAAACAATTCTTTTAGAGCCACCTCGTGGGGAAAATAAGCAATTTAAAACAATACATGTACTCTAATTGGTTTTCTACCAAAAAGATGTGTTCATTATGACATCTTCTAGTACTCTTTTAAAAAAATAAGTGTCTCAGTCAGACTGTAAACTTTAGACAACATTGTTTAAACCCCTGGAGCATGAAGGAAGTGCCTTTATGAACAAACATGTGTTAAAAGCAGAAAAAATATTTATCATCAAGTTAAAGATGCTATTTTGCTGAAGAATGCTTTTAGGCCAGATTCCATTCAAACTCCACCCAGCTGCAGCCCACAAAAAAAGCGTAAAACCTAAACAAGCAGAGGTTTCTTTCAGAGCTTGCTTGGCCAAATGAGTAAATCAAAAGATATTATTCAGTCTAACTAAAATGGGGTAAAACTCCACAAAATGAATCTATACACTGTAGTAGATTCAGCACTTGAAGCTGAAAAGCTTTTGTTCTTTAACATCCTTAGCGTACTTATCAATGTATTTAAATGGTAACCTTCTGCTAGTTCTGAAGAATTTTACACCCGTTGCTTATAAAGAACTCATTAAACAACAGTTTTCTGTTTGTGTACATTTAAGTGAAGTACAGTTTGGGCAGTCAATATCAGAATAAGGGAGAGTCATGATGCAGGCTTCATTTACCTACAGCAATCAAACATCAGCTGCTGCTAGATCTGTGTGTTTTGTCTATGAAGCAAAGTGCTTATATTTTGTTCCAGAGAACAACAGCGCACATGTAGTCCATATATCTTACTATGTTTTAATTTATACCCTAATAAAATACTTCATTTACATAAAACATTATCTCATATTTAATCACATCTATCCAATACAGAATTGTCTTCTATTAGTACAAAAGTAAACTGGAGTATTACAGAACACTTTTACAAAGTGCACAATCAAGAGGTGTCACAGAAATATTCACTTTTTGGAGCTGTTACAATCAGTGTATGGTACAGACTAGCAGGCACCTCTGTTAATTTTTGCTTTTTAAATAAAGAAGAAAATTTGACAACAAAAAGGTCCTACGGTACCCAATATCTCCGACAGCTGTAACTAAACAGAACATACTGGCACCCAGACGTATAACCAGACAATTTTGCTAAGGCAAGCATGAGTATGTCAATTTTTAATTTTACACTTCTACTAAAGTCTTAGTGAAAGAAGGTATCCATTCCTTCCTCCTTAAAGATGACAATGAGATCTACTTCCTCTTCATCCTCTTCAAACTTTGGAAAGGAGCCCTGATTCAGGGGCACTCGCCTTAATGAGATTTTGGATTTCTTTGAATTTTGGATGTTCTTTATCAGCTACCAGCTGCAGCAGTATAGCTTCACTAGTAGTAACTATAATTCCAGTACGAGAAAGACGCTGAAAGAGAAAAAAGTGGAGAGAGAATAACATGAGATACTTGCAAATGTGAGCATACTTTTTGTAAAAATGACCAATGGTATTACCAAAAGTCTTGCCAGTTCCATTCCAACATTTCTTGGCGGTGCCATTTATAAAGCTAGGATGGAAAGCAACTGTTTTCAGACTTTACTGAGGAAAAAAATGCTGCCCTGTATTACAAATAAGGCTTCCCACTTGGCCATGGTTCTTTCCCCTGTGAGATTTGACACACAGAAGACACATCCCCTCTTATATTAACAACCCTTTCCCCTTGCATGGTCCCAAGGATAGCTTCCTTCACTCTCATGCAGATTGGAAGGTCTGGGAAAAAAAAAAAAATAGTGAGGTCCAAGACAAAGGTGATAATCAGGCAACTTAATTTTAACAACTTCTCTTTCAAGGCTTGTTATGCAATACTACATTGGCCTTTGGACTAAACAGCACACTAGTACTAATAATCTCAGGAGACAGTGAAAAGCTCTTCTACAGACCTTATAAATCACACAACGGTACAAGAGCACCTCCTTTTAACAAACACCTCATTACAGCCTCTGTAACTCCTGAGTTACTTTTCACAGACTATAGAATAAAAAGCATCACTGTATAGAAAGCAAAACTGAAAGATGTCTGCTAGACCTTCTAAGTGTGCAACTAAACAGAACAATGCTTCATTTAGCCCAAGCCACAGGACTTATTGCAAAGCTTCTGGACTTTTAAGACTGTGGCTGTTGCCTATGTAGCAGTTATCTTAAGTAAAAGCTGGCTACCCCCTGAGCCACCATCAGCTTCCCAGCAATGGTACAGATGCTTTGGCAGTAAAACTCTTCATGGATCCAGCCTTCTCTCCATCATTCTCTACTCAACTGCACACTCCATCAAATCTAACAGAATCCTGAATGAGCCAAGAGAGGGCAAGAGTCAGAAAATACAGACATGTATGCCTTCAGACAGGTTTCAATAGTACAGAATACAGAATAGAGAAGTTCTCAATTTTATAGGGCAGACATAGATCACTCTAGTTGTTCAAAGAAATCTAGCAGGAAAAGACTGAGCTTGCTCAATCTGAGACCAAGCAATGACACAAGGTATTTTCATCCGATAACAGCCACAACCTTGGCCAGTTGGGTTGAATTATTTCACTACTAGAAATCTTGAGGTTTTTTGGTTTCTGGGTGGTTTTTGGTAGCAAGGTTTTGCCTGATGTCATTTTTAAGTGCACAAGAGAAGCAGAGACAATAACTCTTAAGGGTTATCAGGAAGACATGAAAGCTTTGGCTCTCAATTAATTCAAACTGCACTTCCTGGAACACCCGTTCAGGTATTTGCATGTTCATCACCAGCACCATCAGAACACATAGTACATGAGGGTAAATGCAGAGAACTGAATGGTCAGGTGGGACCAAATGGGATTTATTTGAGGTTGCTGAGGAAGCTGGTTGTTATCACTACAAGGTCATTCTATTATCCTTAAAGGTCACTGTGAACAAAGGAGGACTGTGTTACTGGGAAAAGATAAATGTTACATCCATCTTCCCAGAAAGGTAAGGAGAAGGATCCAGGGAAGCCAGATCAATGAACCTCACCTTAGCTCACCAGATATGCCTCTTGGGCAAACTTGCTCCAATGTCAGATTCACTAACTAAAAGAGAGTGACTAGGAACTGTCAGCTGTATGGTGAGACCAAAACAGGATTACCCAATGCTTTGGTATTTTATGAATTTGCACAAGAAACATATTGCAATAGTTAGTCAGGATTATTGACATGCCCAGTACATATGTTCCTTTCTTCCGGTTTCCTGCTCCCAAGTATGGTCATTCTAGCCCACAGCCCTCAGTAGCATTTTTAAGAGGCTCTACAGCACAAGAAGATGAAAATATTGTCATGTGCAGCCACAGAAGATGAGGAGTTACTGCCATATAACTGGCTGGCTCATCACAGCAAGCCAGCAAATGTTCCCTGAATGTCATTTTAATGATTACTTACAGGACCACAAAAAAATGTTTTCTTTGTGCTTGGTGAGAAAACACTGCAAAGGTATACTAAAACTTAAATACCTAAAACTGACCAATCTGCCTGGATTACAGCTTTTGCAACCAGCCGCACCTTTAAGGTGATAGATACCTTTTCAACTAGAAAGAAAAGTTAGCTAGTCACTGCTTTAACCTCTATTACACTGAACTAACTTCTATGCTTGCAGACACAATGTAAGTGCTAAGTAAATGTACAAAGACCAGCGCAATAAGGCAAACATTTCAGGTTTTCTATATTTGTTTTGTCTGTTACTGCCGCTGCACACATTGACTTGGGAAGTCCATGATTTCAGTCATTCCTACACTCTGTGTGAGTCACTGTGCTTTACGTGACAGATGACATTAAGCTTCCACTTAATCAAAGTCACAGGTTTCATCAAATGCTATATGCTGGGATTTCCCTTTAGCCTTTAATTCTCTTATTCATGAGAAACAGAATAAATTAAAAGTCTTCTCCAAATCTACGAAAAAAGTATAACATGCTGTAGCTGTTATCAGTTTCCAAACAATTGTTAGGGCCTGAGGCAAAAATTGCAATGCTTTATGTATATATGTATTTGATTTCCAACAGTGATGCCTATAGGCAAGTCAAGAGTACGCTATCAAAAAAACTCTATGAATTTGCTACCATGTAGCTGTTAAATGCTTTCAAATCTTCTTGCTACGTTTATCTTCACTTTCTCAACATTTAGTTAGACTAAGCTCCTAGAAGGGGGGAAAAAAAAGTCTTTGCTATAATCACAGAGTCTTGAGATTAAGCTTTAATTTGCACTGATAAGGAAGAACAGAGGGAGGGACAGACATACAAGAAAGAGCTTTGACCATGATCATTTACTATACTCCATTGCATTTCAAGGATTTTCAAAGGCAGAACAAATACTTTTTGGAACAACAAACCCAAAAGCTCTGTAGCACTTTTACTCTGCTGTACAGATAACATAAGAAAATATCCCCAAATGCTAATGGCTATACAGAGTAACCTAGACTGCATGAAACAATCACTTTTAAAGTGTCCCAAACTGGGTTCCACGTACTAAATCACACTTTAAGGAGGAAAAATAAGGCAGTAATCCTTCTCCTTCTCAAGTCTACGTTTGTGCACTGCTTACTGTCCTTAGAAATTCCTTATTAGCTTACAATAAGCAGGGAAATTATATAACATATAGACCCAAGGTGGAGAAAGTCTTCACTAAGAAACTTACCTCAAGAGCAAACATTCTGTCCATCATACTTCGTGATGAGGTGGCATCAGCTACGATATGAACTTCCAGACCTCTGCCAATTAATTCCAATGCTGTTTGCTGGATGCAGACATGAGTCTACAGGGGAGAAATCAAAGGCAAATGACCCACCAACAAACCATTATTATAAAACATGAGTAGCACAATGCCAAATTAGAGTACATAATTAAGTAAGGTCGAAATATGTATTTTTCTGTCCCTGACATTACTAGGGATCTCAATGTGGGTTTGAAATACCTATCAAGCTTGAGACAAGAGCCTGCAGTTTACAAATATCTAATTTCAAAGTTTATTATGAGATAATATCAAAGAAAAATAACACAAGAATAATCTAGTCTGTAGAGGATATCTGAGCTCTAAGCAATATAAATTGACTGGTTTTCTAATTACAGAAAACAATACTTAATACTGTTGTGGGCCAACAGACATTACTATAGAACAGTACAGGAATGACAAAGCACATACTTCTACTCCAAACAGGACAACGCTGCGGACTCCAGGAATCTCTGCTAATGCTGCTTCAACTTCTGGCAACAACATTGAAAATTTTGTTTTGGGAAGCACAAGTTTAGCTCCTGTTAAATCAATTTCTTGCACAGTGCTGCCAAGACCTTTGGGATACTGTTCAGTTACAATAACTGGAATTCCTAAGAGCCGTGCACCTTGGAGCTGCAAAAGGGCAGGGAGGAAAGTGTACAAGAACAGAAATTATTAAAGAATGATAACAACAAAGTCATTGTTATTACCTGAAACTGAATAACCAGTAAACTGGCTGTGTATGAAATAATAATTTACATGTGTGATCAAAACTCACTACAAGAAAAAAAAGCAAAAGCCATACCAGTCGTTGGCCCACGCTGATGATATCACCAAAATACTTGATGGCAGGCCGGAATCGCTCTTGCATATCACAGCAGAAAAACACAGTGCTTGAGGGTGTCAGGTTGCCCAAAGTAGTCATCTGAAAAACAAAATAATCATAACATTTTCTGTGGCAGTGAATACCCTTTCAGAAAAGCAGCAGAATGAGAAAGAGTCTGCAACACCTCTGCCAGGTAACAGATTTATGTTACTTTAAGACAAAATAGGAGAGAGGTGTCTCAAGCCTGATTTTGGTATGCTTCTAAATTCAAGCGAATGGCTGATACTGAGTAGTATAGTACACTTAGGTAATCAAGATTTTATTAGGTGGGAGACCCAGGTCAATGTAAATGTACATGGAATCTTCTGAGCCCTGAAGGGAAACAGAGGAGCATACTGCCTAAAGTACTGCTTAAAAGAAAACTCAACCAAACCCTAACAAAATAATTACATTTCTCACATTCATATGTAAATCCTCAACTCTTAGAATGGACATAAAATCAAGTCTGATGAAAGTCCAAAAGCTAAAATAAAAGCAGAAAAGCTTGTCAGTACTATGACCAGAAACTGAACTGAATACATTTTAATGATAAAAATAATCTTCCAGAGTTTCCCTTGTTATGGACCACCAATGGGTAGAAGGGAGGGTAAGAAAAAAGAAATCAAAGATTGCATTTTCTCAGACTATCAAAGAGTGTTTTGTATTTGTATGAAATTACTTTCACTACCTGCAGAAGCAAAAGGTAAGGCTTCAGCTGGAGGCTACGGGGAAGAAAGCAACTACATACTATCATTTAGTTCTAAAGCGACTCAAAATAAATTACATCCATTCAGGAGCTTTTAATCAAATTGAATAAACTGCTTCTGGAAGTAGCCATTAATTGCATGTATTTCATTTTCTGTAAACTGAGGCTGTGATGTTTTAAACGGAAACAAAATTACAGTATCTGTAAAACAGTATATTTTGGAAGAGCTGAGATGTATTGGGTTTATGTGGCAAGGTTTTGGTAGTGGGGGGAGGCTGAAGGGGTGGCTTTTGTGAGGAGATGCCAGAAGCTGCCCCATGTCAGATCTGCAGCCTGAAGAATAGTGTAAGGGGGAAGGAGTGGCAGAGACAACGTGTGATGAACTGAACACAATCCCCCATTCCCCATCCCTCTGCAATGCTTGCAGGAAGGAGGTAGAGCTTGGAAGAGAAGCTGAGCCTGGGAAGAAGGGATGGTAGATGCAAGGTGTGAGCCTGGGAAGAAGGGATGGTAGATGCAAGGTGTGTTTACATTTGTTCTTATTTCTTATTATTCTACTCTGTTATTGACAGTCAATAACAGAAGTTCATTTCCCCAAGTCTAGTCTGTGATGTTAATCAGTAAGTGATCTCCCTGTCCCTATCTTGACCCACAAACTTTTTGTCAGGAGAACCCCTGTCTTGTTGAGGATGGGGAGTGATGGAGCAGCTTGGTGGGCAGCTGGTGGCCAGCCAAGCACAACTTGCCACACAGGAACTAGGAATCCTTAAACATTAGTCCCAAATCTTTCATTGATTTACCATTATCTCCTGACACTTTTGATCTCGGTTTCCAAGGCTAAAAAAAGTACAGTATTGGCCAGGCTGAACCATACAGAATGGCCTGTTCATACTGTTCTGAAAATTACTTGTGCCTTACAACTGTAAATGCTTAATTTCCACACTTCTCAGATTCAGTACACCACTACTGCCAAAACAGCAAATGTTCCTAACCGTAGTTCTTCCAGTCCTTGTGGACAAAATGGCCATACTGTTAATACAAGCAGTTACACAGGCAAATGCAGTAACAACCATAGAGCAGATACTCTAACACTGGACCCACTGACGCCAGCGGAACACAGAAGAGCATCACAACAGGCAACAGGAAAATCTTTTTCACTAGGAAGGTACAGCTGCACAGAAACAGCTTACCACAGGTGGTGGGATCTCCACCCTTGGAGTTTTTCAGCATTCAGCAAAAGCAATAGCTGATTTGATCAAGAATTGGATTTGCATAGGAGTTACGGAAGGCAGTCTCTAGACAGCTCTCCCAAACAACATTTCTGATCTACATCATGTAATACATGAGACCTGGGACGAAGAATGTTTGAAAATAAAATTAAATATTGAATAGCAGCCTCGTTCTTGAACACCATCCATGTGTCTGAACAATGCAATACTTCCCCAGCTGGTGGGAAGTATTAATGTGCAATTCAACATCACAATGAGCACCTACTGTGAGCCATTCTAACTCTCGCACTTACTAACATCAGAGCAGTCAGTCATGACATTTAACTTTCCCACCGCTCAGCAGCAAAAATAGAGGATTTAGAATAGGCAATATTTATAAGTGTGCTTCCTACTCTGAAAACATGTCATTTTGTCTTGGCATTTATACGACAATCAAAATCCATTATTTTCTTCTATAAATCACTCCACCACTTTAATTTCTTTAAGATCATTTTGAACTACTGCAAACCATCATGGATTGTAGAATGATCTATGTAGAGTTAGTCTACTGCCCTAGTATACACATTCCTATGGCAAGGCAGTGGATGGCACTAGCATTCTTAGCAGAGGAACAACTATGAATAAACTAGCAAGGCCTTCAAGCAGCTTCATAGTCTGCCTCTACAGAAGGATCATTCGAATGCAAATATTCTTCAGAGATACCTACCTGATCTGACCCAACAGCAATACACAATTTACAGAGCTCCTATACAATCTACCCCACAGCTCTGTCATCTTTATCTTGCAGTGTTTTCTCAACCACAGATCCTTTGTTGCCATTTAAGAGCTTATTTCCAGTCCTGTCCATGGTGGACTTGAAACACAAGAGCATTACTATTCCCCTTCATGTGCATAAGCATGCACTACCACCTATTATCATGCCTCCAGGCTCAGATTAAGTCTCCCTTTAGTCTTTCCCCTGCACTCCCTTACTCTAAAACATACCTATTATTTTCAATAAATAATTTTCATTGCCCTCCTTGGGATGCTTTTCACATTGCATTGTACTACTATAATAGTAGTATTTCTCTGCCCATAATACTTCTCAGCACTCAGCACCTCAGAGGAGATCAGTCAATTCACAGCCCTTGAAGGCCCTGTTCAATTTGTACTTTCCATTACACTAAATTGCTCTCTTCATAATTGATAATGCTTTGACTCCTGAGATGCATTTTAACCTTAAAATCATCCCTTGAACTCTCCCTCATCTTTTAGTTCCTTAGTTGATTACTTCTGTGTTAGCATAGGAATTATTTCTATCTTTGTTGCTTCCATTTTTGAACTCCATCTTATTTCACCTTGTTCCTCCATCCTGTCATGAAAAGTCTGGATTCTCAGAAGCTTACAGCTCCTCCCAGCTTGGCACCTTTTGCAAAAAGAGTATTTGCCCTAAGTTTCAGCAATGACAGGGATGGAATATTTACAAATAGTGGATTCAGAACAGATCTTATAGCGAGCCAATTCCGTATTATTCTGATTTGACAGCTAAGCACTGAAGAAAATGACTGCCTTTCCAGCAAAGGAGCATCCTCATTAGATACTTCCACTGAATCCATAATCCAATATGTTTATGACAAACATCACAGGGACCTGTTTTCCTCTATTATCAAGTTGGTTTAATATGATTTAATTTATGCCTTCAGTTGAACATCAGCGGCACTCAAAAATAAACTTGGGTCAACTATATATTTGCTAAATAAGTTTTTACAAAATCTAACACAAATAGTTCCTATATTGATTTTCATATTTATTTCTGATTGACTTCCAGTCTGAATGGAACCATGCAACATGTGGCAGAACAAGAAGAAACCTGAATAAATAGATGGTGAGATAAAAAAATTAACACCTGCTGGTGTTACTTGGAGTAGCAGATGTGGGAAGGACAGAGCACTGCAAAATGAAATTTGAAACTAAGTTTCATAAACAATAGCTAATGCAGTCCATAAATAAATTCACAGAGTATCTACTAAGTGTAAAGGAAAGTGTCCATTTACTGGTTCTTCTATGTGCCACTTAAATCCTACTGCACACTTGCTCTCAAAGCCATCCTCCCCTTCCACAGCCACACTGCATTAGCTACGAGGGACACCTCCAGCTCACACATCCTGACAGTGAAAATCATGACCACCCACACCCTGCCAGTGAGCTAGTGTGGGGGCAAACCTACATCCAAACATCCATCAAACCCTGACCAGCATGCCAGCACCTGTTTGCTTTCACTCTGTGGAGAGGCAGGCTGGGCATGGATGGTGAGCCACTGCAGCCACATGGTACCTGTTTGAATCCACCACAAAGATACATCTACTCAGCCAGTATCTTGTTAAACAACCTGAATTTAAAAGCGAAAAACAAAAACCCCAAATCCCAAATCAACCCCAACCAAAGTTCACACACAGAGTATATAAGCTTTTTCATTTGTTTTGCTTCACCCCTCTCAGTCACCAGGACTTTCTTCTCTCCAGCTGGAAGCTATCCACAGCACAACCAGAATAGGTACATCAGATGGACACGTAACTTGATGCAAATCTTTTACCCAGCTAGAGAAGTAATCTCTAGGACCTTGTCCAGATCAGGATTTAAAGTTATGCTGTCACGTTACATATACTGCTTTAAATCCTATTCTAGAGAAGGCCTAGGTGGAAAGGACAGATGTTTTTTCACATCTATTTCACCTCTGCTGATTGTTATTAATCATACAAAATGTGACTGATGAACTACTGTAATTAGAGTCAGCTCTACAAAACTACTCAAGCATACTGGCTCTTTATCTGTACTTTCCTTGGTCAAACTTCAGGAAACCATTACACATACAAAAAGCAATTTCTCCCCAGTATTTGTAATTAACAAGAAAATGGAAGAAGAGAAATAATCCCGTGTGAAATCACTCATAAATCTCTTGCCAAGGTTACCCACTAAAAGGGCAGAGTGGAGGACTTTACAGCCTTTGTATTTCAAGCATGTCATAAAAAGAAAAGAAGCTATCACTTTTCTTCTCTTTTATTTCTAAAAGGAAATCTGTAGGATTCGGTTTTACTTTGCTGCTTAACTTTCAAAGAAAAAAAATTGAAGAAATTCAGTTACAAGTTTTTCAAGGGAAAAACAGGTTACAAGTGTTTCAACTTAGGAGTATAAATATTTATTTTATGCTAAGCCAAAGTGCAGTCTTTCATGTACAATTCAGCATTTAAAAGGACAAATTTAGTTAGATAAGCACATGATGTTCATATAATTAAGACAGTATAAAATAATTTATCAAAATCCAAAATTAGCAAAATGCTTGCTGCAGAGTAAAGATACAGAGTCTGGATTTGAAGAAGCCTCTTCTGATATTTTCAGTAGGTTTTTTCCCCTTAAGATTCTAAATCCTGCTTTTAAAAAATATTATTTAGTAACATTATATTTAAATGTAGCACCAGGGAAACAAATCCCCTCACTGACTGCAATTTATGCTTTGACTTTTCCTGGTATTCAGAAAATGGACTTAGGCTCCATAGAGTTAATCTCACTTTGTACTTCCAAAGCATCTGAATGTAGCAATTATATATATGCAAAAAGAGTGAAAATCTGTGTATAAATAGTTCTTATTTACCTTATATTTCAGCAACAATTAAGTATCTATCATTCTGCAAGCAGCCTTCTGCAAGAAGGATACATCTGAGATGTCAAAGCTTCTTTTAAAAAAAAACACCCTGAAGTAGAGGTGCTTTATGCAATGATTTCAATAACAATTTTACCCTTTTAGCTCTAGCATCATAAGGTTATAAGTCTGTAAACACAGAGCACAAGTACTGCTGAAGAGAAGTCACCCTGAAGTTGAAGTCACAGTGACTGTGAAATAGCTGCTCTCAGGCATATATTCGAATGCTGCCCAAACTCCTCTATTAGAAGGCTGTAATGAGTATAGCTGTCTTGTCTTCCAGTACCTCCAAAGTGCTTACTGCTTCTCTCCCCCAAAGACAGCTACAGCAGTTAGAGCAAAACACAGCAGCTCTAATAGCACTATTTAACTGCATTTAGAGTTAGAAGAGGTTAAAGTGGCCCTGAATTCCCCTGCCCCAACCAGAAATATTTAAAACACGTAAAACCAATGGAAAGCTAATGGCTCCATTCTGCTAACAGTCAGTTCCTCAAGATGTAAGCAAATGCCCTCCTCACCTGTTGGGGGAGGCCAAAGGAAAAATCCCTCCTCACCGCAAGTCTGTGTTTGAGGAGTTCCAAGAGTGGCAGCCAGGCTGAACATCAGGGTTTACTGCATCCACCAGCCTGCCTAACACTGGGTGGCCATTAAAAGTTAAAGTGGCTGTTTTGCTCCAGGTCAGCTAAACCAGCCAAATGTACATGCATGAGTACATTACAAAGGCACAAATATGACTGGAGAGCAAATGTCCCTGCACAGATCAAGGCCTGAACTGGGCTGTGTGGAGTGGCTTTCTGAGGGCAACATATGGTGACTCCTCCATGAGAGTAACTGCCCATCTCAAGTGCAGGGACAGGAAACTGAAACAGCCCAATCAAACACCATTTGGTGCTAACATTTCTTTGAGCCACTAAAGGCATCCCTCCATGACAGGTCTGCACAGGAATCAAAATGGGAGGATATGGTTCCAGATCTCATGGGCACTACAATCCTTGGGGTTAAAATGCCATCCATAACTAAACGTATACATATATTTTAAAAAGCACACATAGTGAAATTATTGTCTAGGGATTCAGACGCTTGTATCTGTGAATCTTAACTTTAAACTAAATGTTTCCAAATATGCAAGTCTAATCACATCAGTGAGCAAAGGTTGTCCCTCTTGAAAGACACGTTCAGAATGGTATTTCAACTGACTATGCTGCATGCAGAGTTGACAAACCTATGTCAGGTGTTACTGCAGATAAAAACATCAGCAATGGGGGGTGTGGGGGAAGGCACACAACAGTGGCAGTGCATGAATCAACACACAGAAAGAAAGTATAATCCTCCCATCAGCAAATCCTAAAGGTCTTAAAAAGTGCAGCTGTGACTGTATCAGACCAAACGTTCCCCAAACGAATGATCTCAGAGCACCTGCCGGCGGCTTAAGGCAAACTGACTGACATTATTGTGATGTCTCCAGCACATTCTCAGCTGCTGAAGTACATCAAGGAGGCAACTAAAATATTACACAAGTACCATCCTTCTCATATCAACAGTTGCTATTGTCACAGAATTGCAACAGTATGGGTGAAAGCAGCTAATCAATTAGGCAATTATTGCATTAAATATTGGTTCATTCCAAATCCCTGCAGTCAAAGCTACGTAGTGCATCTGCACCCTGAGAATGATGTATCCTTCCATGTCTCAACACTGACCTTTCACACCGAGATGTACATCCTGCTACCAATGCTCAGGCTACATTTACAGTTGCAGTGCAGAAGTCATCTGCAAGAGAGTCTCTGCAGAGCAGTGATCTGCACACACAGATAAGAAACAAAATTCTGACCTGCACCACTGTTACACACCCAGATTACACAAATTCTGTTTTTAAAATCCTTTCTTGAATCATCTGCAAGTTGGAAAGGCTGCCCTTTCGAGTTTCTCTGGATGGGCCCCCACCCATTCTGTTTCCAACGCACAAAGGAGAAAGGCTGCAAACTGAATACAATGAATGACAAGTGATGGAATTAATAATAAATAACAAAATAAGTTATTGAACTAGTTTGGTCATCTTAACCACTCTTTCCATACACAGGGTTAAGGAAGGGACAAAAGACTTCAAAGGCATCCTTGATGTACAGTCTAAACAAACAGGCTACCTTGAGAGTTTATGGGTTCAGGAGACTACAGTTAAGCAGGGTTCCAGCAGAAGACAAGCCATGTTTCATTTTTTATGACATGACTTTTTCAAATTGTTAGTAATGTTAGCTCTATAAGCTAACATTTCTTAGTTATAAATTAAGAAGTATGTTCTGAATTAAAACAATAAATGTGTTTTGGTTTGTGGTTGTTTTTTTTTAAAGTTGTTTTCTTTGATGCTGGAGAACGAAGAAAGCAATTTTGCTTCAAGTGGAACTATTACAGCACGACTAGCACAAACCTCCAGTGTGCACGAAGGTATCTTAGTATGAAACACACGTACTGTACTTGTCTGGCAGTCTGGCTTCCGGGTTCATAGCCATAAAACTAGTGAGTTAAGAACCTGTAAATCAGAAAGCTTTGGGGGGCAAGAAGGGATACAGAAATCGCTGGGACCTACAAGCCACGAGATCTAGGTCTAGCAGAGCCCTCTTTACCGGCACGGTGCCTCTGAGTTTCCACTTAGCGGCATTACCTCTGGGTAAGGCCGGGTAGCACCAGCCGCCTGTTTTAAAGGAGAAGTTATTATTTCTGACACCAGGCGATTTTCCCATTCACGGGGCAGTGAAGGCAAAGCCCGGTTATCAAACGCACGTGGCGCGGAGCGCGGCTGCATCCCCGCCTCAGTAAAACAAGTTTCCACGGAGAAGTAAGTCACCGTGGGATGGCGGGGCGCTGCCCACGGCTCCGGCGCGCTGCGGACCGCCGGCCGCCGCCGAGACCCCAGCTCGCTGCCGCTTCTCCCCGGCAGGGTCCAGAGGAGGCCGGGCAGCCGCCG